GCGATGCCATCTGTTATACGAACGGGGAACCAGCAGCCAAAAGAGCCATATTCGTTCGTCATCGGTAGTAATCGTCGTTGGATATTAAATGAATATTAAAAATAAATACAAGAGCAATGCACCAACAACTATAGAGTGAAGGATGTCCTCTTTTGGCATTGCCATTGTGATTTCTTCAATGTTAATCTAAGTCACGTCTTCTGTGCTGTTTGAATTGGACCAATAGCAGCGAAGATATAGACTTAGTTCCCTTTGGATTTGCGCTCTCTTTACCTATATGCTGACATTTGGAGTACTCCCCTGATTGGGCGTCCCTCCCTCTTCGGGTCTCCTGAGGCTACTCAACCTCTTCGTCTTAAAAGTCCTAAGGATATGACTTTTAAGCTTAGGTTCAGTGTTGCCAGAATATATTTTTTATGTACCAGATTTGTCTGAGAAATGTACCAGATTCCATAAAAATGTACCAGATTCTATAAATTATATCATTATTTTGAATTGTGATGGTTTGGTTCATTGAAGAGCAAAAAAAATACGTGTGGCACTCGGGGACTGCCGCGGTAAAGCTATTGCATAGCATTTTTTATCAACTTATGCAATTATAATTATTTATTTATTTTATTTATACAGTATTTTTTTTCTTTGATATTAATTCAAGTTTTTTCTTTGATATTAATTCAAGTTACACTTTTTGAGCGTGGTGACCGATAAGAAAACAAATTTTTATCTTTTATTGATTAAATGAGAAGTTAATATTGTTTAAAATATTTTTATTATCTTACAATACATGTAGGTTATTCAGGAATTTTTATCATTGAAACTATAGGTTTATGGTAACTGAAATAAGAAGCATAAGTTTGAGACTTGATATCCTCTAAATATCTGGAAAATACCGCGTCAATGGTAGTCACATATTTTGTTGTGGATTCTTGTGGATCATTATTCATTTTCAAATTCAATTTTTGTGTCTAAAAGAGATAGAATCAGTTATGAGCAGTTAGCAGCTAGTCTACACGCATACGTCTAGTCGCACGCACACAAACACCGTGCCGAAGTCTGCCGAACTGAAACGACGTTAGACGATGCACGGCTTTCAACGCCGCCCCGCTGTGCCGGTCGGAGTGGGGGGTTATGTTAGGTTAGGTTTATTTTCGTTATGGAATTTCTTTTTCCATTTTTCGATTTTTCCATTTTTCGATTTTCTTTTATTGAATAAATGAGAAGTTAATATTGTTTAACGCCGCACCGCTGTGCCGGTCGGAGTGGGGGGTGTTAGGTTTTTTTTCGTTACGGATGTTACGGAATTTCTTGATTCGGTCGCCGCGCTCAAAGCCCGCGATAAAAGCTATGCAATAGCTTAAAAATATCAAGAAGAAACACAAACAAGGAAGAACCTAACAATATATTTTACCCGTCAAATGGAAACAGGCTAATAAAGAAAAAGTACTAGATTTTTCTTCGAGTGTACTAGAGTACTAGATTCTTAGGTTGGCCAACTTTTTGACAATTGACACGTTTCACGCCGGTTCCCTGTTAGTCAGGTTTTCGACATATGTTATAAAGTTGAGATATGATAGGTTAGAACCCTTTTTCACAGTTGACATGTTAGATTAGAACGCTTTTTGACATATGTTAGGTAGCCAACTTCAGAGCTACTGCTACGCATGCGCAGTTTGAAAAGTGTTCCCAACGGGCCCATTACCTACTTCATAAATTTAAATGCTCTTGAAATTGGCTGTAAAAGTGTTATCTAATGTCAATGAAAATATACAAAGTATTCAAATTTGGGTCAAAGTTGTACAATGGATAGGCGCATATTTTTAAATATTTTCAGTTATAGTGTTCCAAAAACCTCTCGCAATATAAACATAATATTATTTTTGAACACATCCCATATTTTATTTAAAAGTTAAATATTTTCTAAAATGTAGATTAATTCAAAGCCGAGCGTAAACATCACGGGCATGACTCGTACCTCAGTCTTTGTCGGTCACAATCTAATTTAAAAACATGTTTTATTTCTAAAGTAGGGCATGACCGACAAATACAGATATAAGTTACGCACACGGCTTTGAATTAAAACAAAACGGACATATGAAAATAAGTATCATATGCTATGACATGGATGCATTTTTTCAAGAAATATTTGTTGTGGATCATTCCATTTTATTTTACATAGGAACCATTCCAAATTTGCTTTCGTTTTTGCAAACTTCTAAGTAATTCCAATTTTTTATCATTTAACTTACCCCTAAAGTAAGAAAAATACCAAAACATACAACTTGAAATTGAAATACACTATGTTATTTCCTTAAATTGTGGTATTATCAGTTATTAGTAATTTATATAAAAAAAATGTATTATTGCAATTAATTACCCAAATTAATAAAAGTCTAGACAGTGAATCTAGGAAAAAACATCAATGAAGCAAAAGCTAGATGTTTTTTTAGTATATTCCAGTAAATATCCTTATTACTTTCTGATTATTACATTATTTAAAATTGTATATTTAATAGCTTGTAAAGAAGTCAAAGAAAAAATTATACAAAATAAAAAATTAAATTTAATATTTTTAATCAGCTTAATTATACTGGGTAACTGTAAATTATTGTGATTTTTTTAAGGCTGACAGCGATTTTTCATTCTATGGCGTCCACTAAAAGGTACAAATTTCTGACAAGTACATTTTATTTTTTTATTTGAGTTTACTATCGCACGCCTATGGTTTGCGTCAAACAGAAATTGTCAACAGTATGTCCAAGCGTTCAAAAAAAAAAAACACAATAATTTATAGTCACCCGCCATTATTAAAATCCATTTCACCAATTACGGCAGTGTTATTACTCATAGATATTACTTATTACTAACATAAAATAAGAGAAAAGAAAAAGAAAGCATAACCAGTGGAGGCACTGGATATGCAAATTTCCATTAATATACAATAAAATAAATACTTATTATCCAAGAAACTTTAGGCAAGATTAAAAATCTCTAAAAACTGATTTTGAAAAAAAAAATATCTTGATGAAGTTGGCCCAAACTGCTCTTAGAGTATGGTTCCAAACTTTGTTTCCCCATTAACTTCTTTCAATGTGACGTAGTATTGTTTACAGAGTTACCAGACAAACTCATTTGGATTGTATTGACAATGATATGGGGTTAGTCGCAATAACTGATACACATGTTAGTACAGTAGTTGTTCTATTATGTATCCAGTATTTAGTAGCTTATTCATGATACAAAAAGCAATGGTTCTTCCAGCATTGGTATTAACATTTCACAAAGCCATTTTTTTATATTTTTCATATATTGCCTTAAATAATAATGTTTAAAAACATTTGGTCTTTTGCTAAGGAGTCACATATTTTATTGTATAAAAATCTAGGTTTCATAAGACGCCACAAACTTGTATCAGAAGCATTGTATAATTTCTCCTTTTACAGTACCACTTATATCATTAATCTTTAACTTCAGTACAATATTATATTGTGCTGGTGTTGTTATTGCCGTTTCCTCCACTTTTCTCGTTTTTATACTGTGACATTGCAAATACAGAAATTCGTTCATGCACAAATAAAAATCAAAGATCTCTTTTGTATAGTATTGAAGACAAATTATCAATTGTCTCTACTTATCATGGATATTAGTAATAATACATTTATAATTTAAATTTTGTGTCAAATTGTTAAAATACATTTTTAAAACTTGAACCTACTTCACTGAACAGTAACTAACGCAAACAGAAAACACATTTGTCTCGGTAGATCGTTATACGAGAACTGTTCTCTTTCCACTGAGCCTATCTAGTAGGCGATGATATTTTATCTGGCATATCAATGTGATTTTTTACAATTTCAAGCGTGACTTAAACCTTAAACCGTTTTGAGGAAATCAATTGAGTGCTTGATGACAAGTCATGTTTCTTCACTACCGTAAAGCAGTGGTACAATGAATTTCAACGTGGTCAACTTTCCTTAAATAACAGGTTTCGAGTTCCTAGGACAAAAAAATTGATTTTATTTGGAACATGATAAAAGAGGACCCGTACATTACTGTCAGAAACATTTTAAGCAACTTTAAAGATTTATGTAAAAGCAATTAACACTATTTTACACAAACATCTGAAAGTCTGTAAGTTTTGTTCTCGGTGGAGCCCCACAACTTGACTTTAGCTCAAAAAGAAGACCATGTGAGATGGTGCAGATCTACACTAGATATCTTTGACCATGGATCGTCTATTTGGGTATACATTACATGTGATGAAACACGGGTAAACTGCTATGATCTCGAAAAAAAAAAAAAATAACAATCGTCAGTTTGGGTCTTTGAAAATGAGAAGGCTCCAACAAAAGTTATTTGTAAAAATTACTGAGCATGTTTCCACTGTAGCACTGGAGGATAGACTTACTGTTCAGAATGGATCACTACAGTTTGTTTGCCTCAGGTTCTCCAAAAGGTTCGCGAAAAACGTTCAAGATAACACTAGGGCTCACACTACTACTCAAACAAATGAGTATTAGAATGTCTAAAACATAGAAATAACGAGTAATTCCCCGTACAGTCCAGACCAACACCTAATGACCTTATTTCCGCGGGTAAAGGATAAATTACGGGATTTAAAGTTTACATCAGCCGAAAAAAAATTATAGCCAGAAAATTTAAGAAATATTTTCCAGATTGTTTTTCTCGGATGCAAAAATGCGGAGGATATTTCTTTGAATAATTATAAATAAATGTTTTTGTAAATAAATTGTGTTTTACTTGGTAACAATGGGAAGATAACAGCCCTCGTATTAGACATAGAGCCATATGTTCCCTCTTGTAATAACATAATATATGTTCATTCATAGAAGTAGAATGCATTTTTTGAATATGAGAAATATACGTGCCAAAATCGGTTAAATGGACTACAAATGATTATTTAAAAATTCTTGTGCTGTTACTTCACACTTACCAATAAAATAATAGTATACATTCTCTAATAGAAACTTAATTCAACTTACCAAATAAAATCTCGACAATGTGAACAAAAAGTAGGTTGTCGTAAGAAAGTAGCCATAAATTTGTGACCATTAACCTGATGGACTCTTCTTCGCATAGCCCCGCGCCTTCTGTTAAACCCTTGACGTTCTTTAAATTCTCTGGGTTTCCCTCCATAATCTAAAAATACAGGACAGTATTGAAAATGTATTAAAATTTTTCATAGATTGTAGTAGTTATATTACCATTCGATGTCATCCTTAGATCTATTCTAATATGCAGTCGACCTTTAGGCTCAAGATTAACCTACAAAAAAAATATAGGTTTATTTTTTTTTATAAAAACAAAACAGTAATAGAAAATTCAAATTTTAACAATGATTTTTAATTTAAAATTTCAAAATATGTATGTAATTCCAAGTAAGAGATTGTTGCAAACCATTTGTAAAAATGTTTCTTGAATGAGGTAGAGAATGTTTTTAATTTCATTAAATTATATATTATAGTTTTGAAGTTAAATAATGAAATGTACTTTGATTGATATATAGTTTTTTCAGGCTTTGGTACTGTTGATGTCTTTTTATGCCCAGTATTTATAATTAATAATTATGGTTTATTATTATTATATTAGATAAATGTTTATGTTGTCTAATAATGACACTATTTGTAATAATGATAGTTAAAGGCACTTGTAATAGATAGCTATCTAAGTCACAGATATATAAGGCCCGTAAACGAGTGCATCGAACTAAGTACTGGAGCGAGTACTGGAGTACCACAGGGATCAATATTAGGCCCCCCATTGTGGAATTTATTGTATGATGGCATACTAAAGATACAGCTAATGAAAGAGGTAACAGAAGTGACATTTGCTGATGATCTTGCTGTAATAACTGAAATTAAGACAGGGAAGAGTTAGTTTATAAAGCTAACGAATCACTATAGGTATAGGATAGAGGTGGATAAAAGCAAATAAGTTGCAATTAGCCTCACAAACAACTGAGGTAATGATTAGGAAGTAAAAAATGACTAGCATTGTACGATGGGGTGGTACAATCTGCGGCCCCATTATGGAAAGACATAATGAAAAAAAGACAGATACAGAAATAGGCTAATTGCTGTGCAAAGAAGAGCGCTTGTAAGAGTAATCAGAGTGTACTGAACAATTTCGGCAGTAGCAACGCAGGTAATAGCAGGAATTTCCCCTCGTAGAGGAAAGGTGCAGGCTACATTTAAAAGAAGACAGTAAGTACAAAAGAGCCAAGAAAGAGAGCAAACTAGGGACATATGGCAAGAACAATTGCGGCAGCAAGTAAGTAAAGGAGAATTAACAAAACCGTTTATAACAGATGTAAAGGAGTGGGTCAAATGCGAACACAGGAAAATGAACTACTCTATTCTAACCTGGTTTCTTCAAGTCATGAACATTTTTTCAAAATACCTCTAGAGGATGAACATAAAGCTTATAGGGGAGTGCAGGCATATCAGAAAGGAAGAAACCGCCAAACATGTAGTATTCCAATGCCCAAGGTGGGAAAATAGAAGAAGGACATTAAGAATTGATATTAACCAGAAAATTAGCAGGGAAAACATTATAGAAACAATGATTAGGAGCCCCAGGTTATGGAAAGTAATACAGGAATACATAATTGAAGTGATGGCAACAAAAGAAATCATAGACAGAAATACAACAAAATAATGTACAGTGAGACAAGCTTTTGGGACTGAAGTAACTTCAACCAAGGAGATTCCACCCACAAAGTTTAAAAAAAAACAAAGAGCTGTTTTAGATGGTATACTATGATTATTCCTATCACAAAGGAATGATAATGATAATATTAATGCCAGAACAATATTATACAGAAAAATATACATCTCTGTAACATGTGGAAGATAAGTTAGGCACTTAGACCTCAGTAGGCCATTGTGCATCCTCCTAAGTTGATAGGCACCTCTTATCGCGTGAGCCAGCCTACAGATTTAATGTAGTTGACAACTTCCCAGAGAGGTACTTCTCTTATATCGGCAGGTCTTAGCCGATATTCGCTGAGTACAAATCTACCTTGTTGCCACACTTTTTCGCTACTCTGCATGTGAGAAAAACGTTCAAGATATTTTTTGAACATGTGCTTTTTGTACAATTCCAGTAACAGTGTCTAAGATTGCAAGTAAACTGACAAATTCTTTAAAAACTTAGTTGTTCTGTGGTCTTTGTCACACTTCTTAAGCGAGTAATATAATAGTGTATATGAATGAAATTGTTACAACACATTTTTTTTTTTTTTCAAGGTTAGGTTGAAAAACATAGGGTGAGCTATGCTTATGTTTAGTATAACTCACTCAGCTGACACCTCGCCTTTTTTTACAAAATTAATAAATATGTAATTTACTTTAATTTTGTTTTATGATGTGAAAATTAAGACATTATTATAATTAATATTATTTTTACAATAATTGTACCTGGATCATTGTCGGAAAAGGGTCTAAATCGATAAGCCATAGATGCATGAAATTTTTATAAAGTATCACTTTCTAAATCGTAAAACAAAATTTTTCAATTTTATCAAAAAAATAAGTCTAACGCTCTATAAATAAAATGATTAGGAAGCTCAATCAATTAATACTAGTTGACACAAAGTGTAACTGTATTAAAATCACTTGATGACAACATGATGCTTATAGCCCAAGAGCCCACGGCAAATTTTGACAGTCATCTGATAACAAAATGAAATATGCCCCCGAAGGCATGTAAAAACATTATACTTTACCAAATAGCACCTGTGCCAATTATTATCTTGCTTGAGCAAAGTGGTCAAAACATACAAATGAAAATAGAACTCCATGCAACGTTTATATGGATATGCTCGGAAGTTTTCCAAAAAGAAAACATATTCAAACAGTTCTTGAGTACATCGTCAAAGTGGAACACTTTCTTCCCCTTAAAATCGAACAAAAAAAAACATCTGTCAATGATTAATGAAAACCATCACAGGGCTATTTCAAATAATTACATAACTGATTTGAAACTCCATGAGAACAAAGAAAAAACTTGTCTAAGAGTAGAAAACGACAACATCAAAACCATCACAAATTTTTTGTTGATTTTGTAGGTAAAAATGCCAATAACTTATCTATGCAAATCACTGAAAATATGTTACATTGTTACAATATATCTTTTCCTGAGAAATATGAACTAAAAAATCTAAACCTGTAATAAAGTACAGTAAGAATGTCAATAGGATGAGAGAGCATTTACACTTTTTACACGATACGTGTAAACATAATTGTGCTTTAAAAAAAAATTATCTAAAAACTATATGAAATCTATTAATTTACAAAAAAGTGCATGGTCTCTAATTAATACTCAAATAAATAAATTTGTTGACAAACTAAATGATTTCTTTGCAAATATTGCAGAAACAACTTTAGCTAATCCACTATACTTAGACAATGAATACATAACCAAGATTAACAATAATAGATTCACTTCTTCATTTTTCTTGTAACCAGTATCGCATACAGAAATAAGTTCATTCGTGGTCTTAACACATGGAGAGCCAGATATTTTTATGGGTTTAACAATGACACATTAAAATTTGCAGTTGAGGAATTATCTCATCAAATTGTGCACCCCATAAACTCCTGTGTCGATACAGGTCTTTCCGGATAAACTAAAATTTGCTAGAGTTAATCCCATCTTTAAAAAAGGTGATAAAAAAGCAGCTGAAAACTATAGACCCAGTTCAGTGATACCAGTTATCACTAAATTAATTGAAAAAAACGTTAAATTCCAAACATAATCTTTTAATTTGGCTTTAGGCTGGGCAGATCTACAGTTTCAGCTTTGGTAGAGTTGGTTACATATATCTCCGAAGAACTGGAAAATGGTAATAAGATAATGGTCTCTTGTTTAGATTTATTAAAGGCATTTGACTGTGTTTCACATAAACTACTTCTATCAAAGCTGGAAATGTATGGTATAAGAGGTATATCCCTTTGAAATAATTAATTAGCTACTTGGCAGATTGAAGTCAGTACATTCAAATAAATAGTGACAAGTCAAATGTGAGGAGTATAGAACATGGAGTTTTACAGACTGGGTCCGCTATTTTTTAAAATTTTCATTAATTACATTTTCGAGTATATTCAGAAAAAAGAGGTTATTTATGTTGATGATGTTACTTCTCTGAACTCAAGTAGTTGCTTAAATGATCTATACTATTCTCATAACGAAACCATTCTGGAATACTTTATTTATTTTAAGAAAGTAAATTTAAAACTAAATGAAGTCAAAACTCAGAATTTGACATTTAATTTAAATCCCTTAGAAAACACTAAGAGATGTTTAATTAAATATTTGGGAATTCAAATTCTTGGGAACCTCATATAAATAATCTTTTAAATCGTCTATCTAGTTACACCACATATTTATTAAGATATCTTACACATCAAGTTATTAACAAGGTTTTAATTATGGCTTATCATGGCTTATTTCACAGTGTTGTCATAGGGTACACTTCATGTAATTTAGGCAAAATTCTGATTGCACAAAAAAAAAGCTATTCGAATAATAACAGAAGCCAATGTCAGAGACAGTTGTTGTCCACTTTTCAAAAAATTAGGAATTCTAACATGTGTAAATCAGTATATCTATGAATTTTTAATTAATGCAAAAAGGAATATCAACAACTGTTTCAACGCCATTTTTAGATTAACAAGGAATCATAATTCTTTCTAATTTCTACATGTTAAGTTGTATAACCTACTTCCCGTTGAGTAGTGCCTACTAAATATGACAAATTTTTCAAAAAAGATTAAAACTGTCTGAAAGTATGTATTTTATAATGAATTATATAATTTTATTTTGACTTATACACTGTAATGAAATTTTATGAGTTTTAATTTGTTTTTTTAATTTGTTCTTCAGTTCATATGTATTATTGTAAAGTTGTATTGCTTATTGCAGTGAAATTTTAAATGTTTGTTTATGTTACTAGCTTTTATATTCATAATATTAAATTTTTGATGAGTGTCTACAAATATAAAATTTGTTGTAACACAATAAATGGTAACTAACTAAATAACTAACATTACTAATATGAATCAATTTTTGCTGTTTTTAAGATTTATTTGTATCCTATTGTTGATTAATTTTTACTGATATTGTCATAGAAACGACAAAAGAACTAATTACTCATGGTATAAAAAATAAAAGGTAGGATATCAACAGTGTCAAAAATAGGACGGCCCCGCGCATGGCGTCACGCGTAGAGTTTGTATAGGCGCGAATTTAAAAATACTAACGAA